ACGCGGGGGGCGGGGGGGTACCTTCGCGTCTGAGCTTGGCGGGGTCTTGCTGAACGACCTGGAGATCCCGCACTGGGTTTGTGCATGTGGGGAGCGAGCGAACGGGTTTGCCTGCGCGCAAGGGTGTGGGTAGTCGTACCCAGAGGTTATGCCTGGGCCCTGCGTATTTTGTCAAGGTAGCCGCCGTGGGAGGGACCCGAGGGAGACCAGAATGAAAGGTGCCTCGCCCAGATGAGGGGGCAGGCAGGGGAAAGGGTGCCCAGCACTCGAGGGAGGAGCTAGCAGAAACTGGGATTGAGGTTAAATGCAGCATGTGGCCGGACAGCAAGGGGGGCTTCGTTTGGACAGAAGGCAAATCTGAATTAAGGACTGAGAGGTAGTCGTTTTATTGGAATGAGATTATCCAAGGATAAGGCACAGAGAAAAAAGGGGGAAAGGGTGAAGTTGCCGTGGCACCCCTCAAAAACCAAGGATGGAGAACCTGTAGTGGGTCAGCTGACAAACAGGCTGAAAGAATGGTTAGAGAAGCGTGGAGAAGTCATCGGACCAAGCAAAGGCAAGATGTCAGGAAGAGTATTGTTGGAAGAGGTTGACAGATTCAGTGGGATTTGATTTAGGTAGGAGAGATTCTTCAGGCACTTCGGTGACGGTGGTGACAACTGAGCACAGAGGTCTGCAGGCAGGCTGCAGGCTGTAACAGAGGAGCCCCCGACTTGGGTTGTGAACACTGTGTTCATGGAGCCTGTATGTGAAAGGCAGAGAGAGAATATGGGATGATCACCTGAAACAAATTGGATCGAGAAGGGGGTCCTTCCTCCTCCGTGCAGGAGAGATCAGATAATTACTCCACTGCAAGAGCAATAACTGGATTAAAAGGTTAAAGAGAAGGAAGGAAGAGTGAACATGTGAGAAAGGGGGATAGTGTGACGTGAAGGGGAAGACGTTCATTCAGCACAAGGAGAGGAACAGAAATACCTGGAAGAGGTGGAATGTCAGGGCACTGGCAGAAGGGGAAGGCAAGCGAAGGAGGCGGAAAAGATGAGGTGGGAAAATGTTTCCCAAAGGAAATGGTTTGAATTCTGTGCAGAGAGTGAGGACAGAAGGCTTTATGCATAGGTTCCTGTGTGTTGGGGAAAATGGGATCTAAATTAGAGTTGCATGTTGGGAAAACAGATTTGGCTCAGAAATCGGCAAGGTCCCCAGCTTTCCTCCAGGAGCACTCAACAATGCAAAAGCAGAGCCAAAGAAAGCCAGTGCTGAGATTGAATCATGTCTGGGATTTGGTAATGAGAGAAAATGAAGGGTCAAGGGCAAAGAAGAGAGAAACACGAAGACCATCAACAGAAGCATGAAAGAAAGAAAAGAGAAAGCAGAGAGGTAGGCCAAAAGCAAACAGTAAAGCATGGAGAAGAATACTATGGGAAGGGTGAAAAGTTTGGGGGTGAAAAAAAACAGGTGGTAGTCATAAAAAGAAGATACAGTAGCAAAAAAATCAGAAAGGCAGTAAGACTGGATGAAAGCCTAGGTCTGTGAACCATTTCTTCGATCAATGAAGGCTTCAGTCAAATGAGAAGATGAGTTTAAAGAAATGTGCAAGGGTAAATGCAGCTGGGTAATCGTGTGGGAAACGACGCCCCTGGGGATGAGCATGGGAGGCTGGGCAGAAATGGGGAGAAAGTGAAATGAAGAAGAGGTGAAATGGAGAGTCCCGGGAGGTGAAATGAAGAAAGCTGCTGAGGAGGGGTTGAGTGAGTGCTGGATGACAGTGCCATGAAGGTGAGAGGAGAATTTAATGTGCTGCTTCCCACCCTTTCACCGGCCGGGGGAGTTTGCCTGGTTTGATCTCCTCTGACTGCAAACTCTCAATCTGTCACAGGGTGACTAGTGGATCATTCCCGTTTCTGCAAGCAAGCTAGTGTGTTCCCTCTTTGGGTGTATATATGTATGATCCGGGGTCAAACTAAAACCATAAATTAATTTATAAAAATGCAACTTCATGTGAATATGCATTTTGTACGACAAGTATCCTTATGCTCCCCATTGCACGCTTTATGGTCCTTGCAGTGATCCATGCAATAAATGGAGAGTAACTGTGGTCATTGTTTTACTACAGGTAAAATATACAGTGAACTATACTTCAGAAGATAATTTCTAGAAGTGGCGTATTCTAACCCATACCTTGTTGAAAATGGAAAATGCATAAAACTCTGATTCATATGTAGATCTACGGCTTCAAAGAGACAATTTGCAAATGCCTGTCAAGGAGGCCATATGGAGAGGCTGGCAGAAGGGCAGCTAGTGAACCAGTTATATGTGCCAGGTTCAATTTGTCATACTTTACAGTAGCAAGAAATATTTTGTTCTCGTTTTGAGAAGGAAAACTCTCATTAGTAAAGATTCAACAACATACTCCTCAAAATGCAAAATACAAAGAGAAAAGATGCAGCACGCCTGCCCTTAAAGACTGGAACCACTGGTACGTAATAGATCTACAAAGGTATGTAGTAAATCCGGAGTACTGGTTTAAAATGTGATCAACAGGGGGACCCTCATTTCCCCACTTAAAACGTGTCTTGGCCATCAGTCCTTGGGGCTGGAAGACTGACAGCTTTCAAAACCAAAGCGTATCGATGCGTAGGGATCATAGAATCATGGAATGGTTTGGGTTGGAAGGGACCCCTAGAGGTCATCTAGTCAACCCCCTGCAGTGAGCAGGGACACCGCTAACTAGATCAGGTTGCGCAGAGCCCCATCCAACCTGGCCTTGAATGTTTCCAGGGATGGGGCCTCCACCACCTCTCTGGGCAACCCGTTCCAGTGTTTCACCACCCTCATTGTAAAGAAATTTAAAGGATGCAGTTATTGCCCTCGGACCACAGCTCCTGTGGCTGTAAGGGGACAGTGGCAAGGGTGACAGCAGCACAAGCCAGTGCTAAAATCACCTTGTCTCTTCAGGTGTAACACTGAAGGAGGTTTTTTTGGAATTACTTTGAGTGGATTTGGCATGAAATTCCTCATCCCTATTCAGTCTCCCAGCATTTGGTACTTTAAGGCTTCTCAACAGCTTGGCTCAGTTGTGGAAGTTACCCTGCCGGGGAAAGGGGCAGGCACTGGATGTACTGAGACCGACGGCCGTGGCCGCCCAGCCCCGCTGCCTCCCGCGCCCGCAGGGGCCATCA